TTTCACAGGGGTCGCCTAAGACCATCGGAAAACAAAAAGATATTTACATTACGATTCATAACAGTAGCAAAATTACAGTTATAGAGTAGCAATGAAAATTATTTTATGGTTGGGGGTCACCACAACATGAGGAACTGTATTAAGAGGTCACGGCATTAGGAAGGTTGAGAACCGCTGGTCTAGAGACTCTTCCTTCTGCTCTCACATGAGAAATTTGTTATTCTTTATGTCTCAGTTTATATATCCCTCTCCCAGAATCCATAAGTATGAGCAGGTCTTCTCTATTCTCTGACAACTCATTGAATTTATTTAATTATAATCTATTACAATTGTATATTTATATGTTACTACAAATATGTCTGTAACTTATGTACATAATTTTATTCTTCTATCTACTTTTGTGTAGTTCACAGTTCTCCATAATAAAAAGTTTTTTTAATGGAAAAAAATTCCATTGATAAACTTTTTTTTTTTAACCTCTTAGATTCACAGTTGAGGTTTTGCTTTTGCTTGATCATGCACTATTAAGAAAATAATATATACGTTGTTGTATTTTCACAATACCTTTAAGAATTAAAAGGCACATAACTTATGCCATAATTCCAGTTCTGGAAATGACTTGTATATGTATGTAAAAGACATTTATACATGGGTTTTCATTGCAGAAGAGCAAAGGTTTGGAAACAACCTAAATATCCATAATGGGTGTGGGTGTGTATGTGTGTGTGTGTGTGGGGGGGACGACAGTTTAATGAATTATGGTATAATCATACTATGAAATACTACTCACTTATTAGGAAAATGAGACAGTTTTATATGTAATGACATGGAATGATTTCCAATTAAGAAAACAAGGTACACACCATTATGTATAGTATGCATACCATCATTTGTGTCCTTATATAACCAAAAAGATATTGCACTGGAATATATCTGGATTATTTGTGGAAAGATAGAGCAGAAACTAGTAACAGTGGTTGCTTCACAGAAAGGGATCCAGATGACTGAAGGTTTATAGGCAGGATGGAGACTTTCTTTTTCACTGAAAGAATAACAAAAAAAGTACTATAGGTGTAGAGATGAATGACTGTTTGGGGCCGAAATTATGGGGAAGAGTTTTTGAACAAAGATAATAAAAGCTTAGTATTGCTTTTAGCTAGCAAAAATAAAAATATATTAATAGGTAATTATAATTGATGTTGCTATGAGACGTAAAATAGTTTCACTTATAAGTGGAAATATCTGTATTTTATTTATTTATTTTTAGGTGGTGATAGTGGACTGGATGGGTTAGGAGGACCAGGTGTACAACTAGGAAGCCCAGACAAGAAAAAACGCAAAACAAATACACAGGTAAATTGACATTTTCTTTAACAGCAGTTTTTCTTTGCTGATCTAATCAGGTTGATGAGGTAAATTTAAACTCGGTCATGGGATTTGTTTCCTATCCTCATTCAGAACCTAATAGTGGATTCTGCAGTGATTGTATTATTATTAGGTTTTTTACTCTGCAACTAGTGGCTACATCTGGACTGTAGGCCTGGAAGTGTATATTGCAAGAGGGAGGTGTGGGCAGACAAATTAAAATGCTTATTCTTAAATTAACTTAAAAGACATAGATGCCTGTAGTTCTATTCAGAGACCTAAAAATATATATGGACACAAGTTTAACCTGAAGTAATAATGTTCAACTGTTATAGTAATTCAGTAGTATGTGCATATCATGAAGCAACCTTGATGGAGGTATCTTTTGTCTATAACCTGTGGCTGTAATAAACAGTTATAAATACAGGCTTTCATGGTTTCATTCTCTATAAATTCGAAGCATTATCTTTTAATGATAAAGACTGCAAATAAGTATACTGTATGTACAGATTACTTTTTTTCCATTTTAGCCGCCATCTGTTAACCTTGCAGTGTGACTAAAACTGGCAGTTTATTTTTCCAGTCTGAGGCCTAGAGCTTAGTGCTTTGGGAATAAGTTAATAGCTACTCCTAGAAGTTAAGCAAGGAAAAAAAATATAGATCCTGTTTATTATTATTTAATTTAGTGGTTATTTGAGGGTATAAAAGGTATTTTTAGTTAAAATTTTAAGTGAAAGATTCTAGTTAATAGGCAAGATATTAAATGAAAATTATGATAATGCATCTTCTTTTGAAGGTTAAATACTTCTGGAGTTTGAAGTGACAATGAATTTGAGCTCAGAACAGTGTATCTTATTTCCTTTTCTAAGTGAAAGAAACCTGCGCATTTTTATCATTAAATATAATTATATATAAACATTTGGAATTGAAGAGTCAAGTGAAGAATTAAATTTTCAGAACATTGCAAGAGAAATTTGACTAAAAACTAGGTTTATAAGTGTTAAGATTTTATAACAGGATAATCTTAATGGCTTCTTTGATCAAAAACACATATTTTACTTTACATTCTCATTTCAGGGGCCTTCTTTTCCTCCATTGTCTGAGTATGCGCCACCACCGAATCCCAACTCTGACCACCTAGTGGCTGCTAATCCATTTGATGACAACTATAATACTATTTCCTATAAACCACTACCTTCGTCAAACCCATACCTTGGCCCTGGTTATCCTGGCTTTGGAGGCTATAGCACATTCAGAATGCCACCTCATGTTCCTCCGAGGATGTCTTCCCCATACTGTGGTCCTTACTCACTCAGGAATCAGCCACACCCATTTCCTCAGAATCCTCTGGGCATGGGTTTTAATCGACCTCATGCTTTTAACTTTGGGCCACATGATAATTCAAGTTTTGGAAATCCATCTTATAATAATGCACTAAGTCAGAATGTTAATATGCCTAATCAACATTTTAGACAAAATCCTGCTGAAAACTTCAATCAGATTCCTCCTCAGAATGCTGGCCAGGTAGCTAATCCTGACCTGGCACCTAACTTTGTCCCTGGAAATAATTCAAATTTTACTTCTCCATTAGAATCTAATCATTCTTTTATTCCTCCCCCAAATACTTTTGGTCAAGCAAAAGCACCACCCCCAAAACAGGACTTTAATCAAGGAGCAACCAAAAACACTAATCAAAATTCCTCTGCTCATCCACCTCACTTAAATATGGATGACACAGTGAATCAGAGTAATATTGAATTAAAAAATGTTAATCGAAACAATGCAGTCAATCAAGAGAACAGCCGTTCGAGTAGCACTGAAGCTACAAACAACAGCCATGCAAATGGGACACAGAATAAGCCACGACAACCTAGAGGGGCAGCAGATACGTGCACCACCGAAAAAAGCAATAAATCCTCTCTCCACCCAAGCCGCCACGGCCATTCTTCCTCTGACCCAGTGTATCCTTGTGGAATCTGTACAAATGAAGTGAATGACGATCAGGATGCCATCTTATGTGAAGCCTCTTGTCAGAAATGGTTTCATCGGATCTGCACTGGAATGACTGAAACAGCTTATGGCCTGCTCACTGCAGAAGCATCTGCAGTGTGGGGCTGTGACACCTGCATGGCTGACAAAGACGTCCAGCTAATGCGCACGAGAGAGACTTTTGGTCCACCTGCAGTGGGCAGTGATGCTTAGTCACAGCCGTTAACTAAAGTGGGTTTTTCCCCCTATGTATTACAGAGGTTCAGTGACACAGGATTTTAATGTTTTACATTATTTTTTTAAATGCACATGCAAAAAGATGATTTACCTTTTAGTTTTTTTAATATTCCACCTCATTGCAAGTACAGATTTTGTATTGTTTTTGTTTGCTATCTTAAATGAGAATAATGTATATGGTGGTGCTTTAGAAAGTACTATACAAATAAATGTTAATTGTTGTTGTTGTTAATCGTAAGCATAAAAGCCTCTTGAAGCTTCAAAATAATATATAGCAAATGTAGGCAAGTTTTGACTCATAAAAGTTAGAACCATTGAAAAATGTATATTTTAGTGCTGAACTTTGGCGATATCACATTAAACATTTAGTTCAAACATTTTTTTCAAGGATTCATTTAATATGTTTTCAGAAAAAAAAGTATGTGTAGCTATAACATGGAAGAAAGCATACATTTTATGGATGTTTTTAAAAACAATAGACTCCTCCCTAACTAGGGTCCTTGAAATTAGTGACTTTCGTGTTTCAAGTCAGTCTCTCCAGCATATCTGTTTGTACAGATATGACAAAGACGTCAGCATATAGTAGATGCCCAGTAAGTATTTGTTGATTAACCTGTGGATTGTACCACATGAAATTGCTGATATTAAATCAGTTGAAAATTGACTGCAGTTAGTAGAGTTGATATAAAGTATGTTACTAGTTAATGCTATTTAGAATTATAACAGTATTATGCTTTTCTCTCTTCAATTCTCTTTGATTATTGAATTGTTTTGTTATTGTTTTCCAGAGAAATAAATAATATAATATCCTTAGAAGAATTGTGAATACTTTTGAAAACATGATTTCAAACTGCGACATATTGCAAATGAGATAGGGAGAAACAAATTTGGCCTTAGAGGGCTCTGATCTACTTATTGGTAGTTTGAAAAATCTTGCTCTGGGATTCTGAATTCAAGAATGAGCCTCCAGAGAGATCAAAATCCATTTGTAAGCAAAGACCGATTAAGAGCCAAGATGAAAACTAACTTACAAACAACAATTCAAGTCCTTGCAGCAGACAAGAATTTCTGCTGTGACTAAGGAAAGTGTACAAATGGACCTGAGAGTATCCTCTTGAGAGATGATAAAGAACCGAGACAGTTGGAGATGTACTCAGTAAGATTCAAAACAGCAGAAACCCAGTTTTGGAATGGATCATAACCTGTGACCAAAAAAAAAAAAAAATGTGCATACTGTATGACAGTCCATAGCAATTTATACAATGGTTGGATGTTGGTGAAGCTCCCAAACTTGCACCATCATTATCATTGCAACCAAAAAAGTTCTGAAGACCATATGGTGATTTGCAAAAGAGATCATTAATTACTACTATTTAAACCCTGGTGAAATGACAGCAGTAGCATATTACCAAGAAATTAAAATTATGTGAAACATCTGATTAAAAAACAACATCCTTTGGTTAATAAACATGAACCTATACTTTTATATGACAGCATTTGACCTCACGTATCACAAGCTACTAAAGCAAAGTTAATTGAATTGGGCTATTAAATTTTGTCATGTCCGTCTTTGTCACCAGGCCTTTATCCATATCCAGTGATCTACCATCTTTTTCGTCATTTGGAGCTTTTTCTAAGAAAAACATATTCTCCAATTGAGAAGAAGTAATTGGAGGATTTGAACAATTTATACAGCTTACCAAATGATGAATTTTATAACAATGAACTATTTAATATCCTATTAGAAGAAAATTATTAGTGCTCATGATGCATATTTTGATTGAATAAAACTTATTTTTTTAATACAGTGTTTTAATTTTGACCTACAAAACCAGCAATTTCATATGGTACACAGTAATATAAGGTTTTCTCTGGTTACCTGTGACTAGTTAGAGATCAGTACAAAATATTTTCAGTAGTTGTAAAATATATACCTTAACGGTTGTAGGAAATTATATAAATTCTAATACTCTAGTACTCCTTTGTGTGAAAACTTTACCAGTTGAAGCAGGTTAAAATGCAGTATTTTTGGCTGGCTGACATTTGTTGTGTTTAGTAGCATACTTGAAGATCCCAGTTTACTTACACTGTAGCTTTTGTTAGAATACATAATTTTCTAAATATTTAAGGATGTTGTTATGTTGTTCTTGAAATCCTAGTGAGTGCTGATTCTTAGGAAATGATGCACTTCATGCTATATGGCCAGTCCTAGCACCAGATCATGATTTTTTTTTTTTGACTGAATGCAGTTAGATAGATATTGAATAGAACCTTCCAGGGGCCGCAGGAGTTAATACTTTACATGGTAGTATTTCAGTTGTACTCATTGCTAAAATTGATTATGCAGTTTTTTAAGCCCTCTGTTGCTTACAGTTTCAGTTTTGTGAAAATGAAATAACCTCTCCCACGCTAGTCAAAAGATACTTGATTTGGAATACAATTTGTTCATTTTCCATTTCCAAGTAATTATTTCTAAAAACTTTCAAACAAGTGGATTTTTCTTCAGGTATTTAGGTCTTTAGAGTACCTTATTTAAATAAGAATCTGTAAGTATTCAAAGAAAAACCTGTGGTTGATTTTGACAATGAATCATAGGCCTACTATAGTCATAGCTGATGAATGTTTTCATGTATTTGAATTAGTTTTTTTACAAGTTCTACATTTGTCTCTACATAACACTAAGTCAAGTTATCTAGATCCTTTTTTTGTAGGGAAAGCAAAGAACTATAAGAATGGCCAGATACATAATTTGACCCAAAGAAGGCTGTTACACAAATGGATATGACTTTCTTAGGACAAGTGATGAGCTGTCCTAAATATTTAAAAACATTCAGTGATGGAAAGAAATGCACACAGGTAGAATAATCTTCCAGTAGCATTGCACCTTTTTTGGGTGTAATTCTTTTCCTTCACTGAAAGGCCTCATCTGACATGCACACATAGACACAGACAACACACAGTTGAGCAGGAAATCTTGGAGTTTCTCCTACATACTCATTTTGCCAAAGTTCAACCTGGCTAACTGAGCAGTTAGGCCTCTCACCAAGGCTAGGTTTCTGATAAAAAGTTTAAAAGCATTAGTTCCTTTCTCAAAACTTGCTTTGTTAATTTCACTAGAGAATTCCTGGTGCACTTGCTTCTAAATGCTACTGGACTAATACTGAAAACAGCTTAGCTTGTAAAGAAAGATCATTCTTCAGATAGAGTGCTTAGAATTTAGATTTGTGATTAGTGTTTTCCTTTTGTGTGAAATACTTTAGAATACTGTTATGATTCTTGTTATCCAAATTAGATGATTATGTACATAAAACTGAAGATTTTCTTGTACTAGTGCTTACTCTTCATAGATTAACACAATATAAAGAAATCTGATTTTTTTGTGTTTTGTTTTTTTAAGACTCCCAATTCTGCCTAGTAATAGGAAAAAAACTCAAGTGTGGGTCACCGTGACATCTGTCAACTTTAATCACTCAAATAAAATAAATATCAGGAGTTTTCATCCAATATTCTTTCAAACTTATTCATCTTGAACAAAATAAGAGTGCTAGTACTTTTTGTCCAACATACTGTAGTAATTGTATTTAATAGTAAATATATATATATATATAAGCAATGAAAAGGGAGCTCTAAATAGTTTTTGGATTTCTTTTTTGCAATGTATAGAGGTTTCATATGCATGAACATTTGTGCTATTGTAGATTTTTTTAATTAAAAATATTAAGGCTCCCAAAGTTCATTTGTAAATAGTGGTTTGGTCTCTATATAAGATGATTAGATTCTTAGGGAAGCTCATAAAGGCTTATTTAAACCGCAGTGTAGTTAACCAATAGTATCATGCTGAGTGCTTAGCTTCTTTAGGGAACCAATCAATGTAGGTAGGAGAAAAGCAGAGGTCTTTCCTTTATCCTGATGTGATTCAGGAAGGTTAAATTCCTTGGCGTGTTTTCCAGTGCCCTCTTAACCATCCTAAACTCTGATGGGGTGCTATATAAGGCAGCCTGCCTTTTCCCTTCCTGGATGCTCTGTGCTTCAGAATTTCATCTTTCCTCCAATCACCATTTCTTTGTGTGGCTGTGGCTGACTAGATTTTAAGTCAAAAGTGTTTTCTACCAAGATGTGAATGAAGATAGTGGGATTAAGTTTCTTTTTTTTAAAAGGGTGTTTATTAGTTCAGAATGAATATTTAATATCTAAGATTTCAGGCAAAATGACACATTTCAGGCACCATAGGAACCAATATTTTTATTGAATTGACTAGTACTGTCCTGAAAATGCTTCACAATTTCCTTTAGAATGTTGGGACTTTTAGCAGTTTCCTTTCCTCTATTACTCAGAACCCAGAGGTTTTCTTCTCATTTCCAAATTTTAGCAACTTCCTCGCTTTTTGTGTTCCATTTATCCAATAGAGCAGTATAGAAATCACATCTGCATTTTTCCAACTCTCGATACAATGATGGGAGTTTAGAGGCACCCTTGGAGTAAGGAGGCTAGGGGTGGCATTAATATCTCCCGAGACAAGTGGCCTAAGGGAAACGAAGGGAAGAAAGTGGCTGTCTATAAGCCAGACATTAATACATCAAAAGGCTGCCTGTAGTTCATTGAAAACTTTGAGTGAAACCCAGTGGATAAGCTTCATCTTTGTCCTAATTTGTCGAAACACATTACTTGCAATTATATTAAAAAGTATTCTAAATACTTGTACTTTCTCTTGTTCTGTAGATGATGTAGACAATGTTGCTTGTTAGTTAAAATATCTTATAAAAGAAAGTCCTGCTTCTTATCATGATGTATGTGACTTAAATGACTGTTTCATATTAAAACTATTTCTTCCTTATGTACTGTTTACATATACCTCTTTTTGGGATATTAGTTCAGTACTTTTATACAAATCTGAGTGTGTTCCACATTGGTGACATGTATTTTTGCAGTAAGTTTTTGTTTTGTTCTTAGAGCATGTCTAAAGTAACACATGCACTAGTGCTGTGGTCTGTGACAAAATTACTGTAATTCAAATTGGAAAATAAAATGTTTCCAGACTTTGTCCAACATTTATTCCTATGGCAAAGGAAATTACTATGTAATACTAATTATTTCTTATGCTGGTATGTTTAAGCTACTCTATGAAGTATGTGAAACATCAATATTTATGGATTAGTAGATGGCCTGATGTCTGTGAAATGGGAGAGAGGGGGAAAATCTGGTGTTAGCAATTCATAACACTCATAAAACAATAAATACTTCTTAAAATTTTTATCTTCCTCTTACAGTTATAATTTACTAAAGAGTTATTCTGACAGTGGATAGTAGGATATTTTTAGCCCATACCATTAAAATTATATATACTAGATTTTGAACTTATTCTGTTATCTTTCAACCAAAAGAGCTTTCATTCATCCCACCATAACAAAAACAAATAGTAACAGTAATCTTCATTTACTAAGAAACTACAGGCATACCTCCAAGATATTGCAGGTTCAGTTCCAAACCACTCAATAAAGGGAATATCGCAATAAAGTGAGTCACAAATTTTTTGGTTTCCCAATGCATATAAAGTTACGTTTACACTATGCTGTAGTCTATTAAGTGTGCAATAGCTTTATGTCTAAAAAAATGTACATACCTTCATTTAAAAATACTTTATTGCTAAAAATTGCTATCACCTGAGCCTATTGGGGAAAATGGTGCTGATAGACTTGCTCGGTGCAGTTGCCACAAACCTTCAATTTGTAAAAAACAAAATGCAATATCTGAAGCGCAATAAAGCAAAGCACAATGAAACGAGGTATGCCTGTATTATGCTACCATGAAACTCCTCTAATTTACTTAGACTTGTATCCACTGATACATGGACTTGAATGGTGTTTACTTTGTATTATCTGATGAAAAGATTTGTTAATAAAAATCAAGATATTAAAAGTGTTAAATCTTGGAAAAATTTAAGCTTTCTAGAGGCCTTTATTTAAGAATAGAATTTAAGAATAGTTTAAAAGTATTCTTTTGTCATAAAACAAGTACCCAAAAGAATTGTAATAGGTAATACTTGGCCAATGCAAATTTGTGTATTTGAAAGTATATGCTTGAAAGAAAAAAAGAGTGCAAATGCTTAAACTGCATATCTTTTTTAAAATATTCAAATTTTTAGACTTATCAATTGAAATTCATAATTTTATCCTGAATTAATAAGATCTTACTATATCAGTGATGTATATTACAAGATAAATGTCTACCTATGCTATGTTAATGTCTCTATACAGCATCATTTTTGGTGTGGTTGTTATGGTATATTTTGTACATTTGTTGACTTTATAGGATTGACATAGCAGTAAATCCAATTTAGTTCTTAATATTTTTAAAAATTCCAGATAACATACTGTGTCATAATCCCATTATATTTTACTTGAATGCCCAGTGTTTTCGTGGGTCTTAATTTTTGTATTAAAAATTTAGTATTACATGTTAGGGATTTTTTTTTCCTGGTGTTTTCACATACAATCTTTTAGACCTGGGTAGGTTTCTCTTTAAATCAGAGGTTTAACAAAGTATTAGTATTAAGTAATTCATGAATTACTTTGTGGAAAAATTTAAAGTATGAAGCGACTTGTTTACCCCCAAATTGTTTATTTTCTTTACATGGCTAATGTACAGGTTACAATATCAGAGAAATAAAATTGGCTTGGTAACTGATAGAATGTAGTAGATAATAGTTTGTCTAAGGGCTTCCAAGTATTAAACCAAATAATTCTCAATTCTGAATTACTTTTTAATAATTACTATAAATAGTATTAAGCCAAATCTCCTTTTTCTTTTAAAGGTATTTAATTCTTAACAATTTCCTCCTTCTGATCCCTTGTTCTTCTTCCTTAAATACCATGCTAGAATTTAAAATTGGAGTTTAACTTTTCTTCCACATTGTAGTTTTTTATTCTTTAGATAAGACAAATAGAGGTTCTACTATCAAAACATCCATGTTATTGTTGGTCATTCTTTTCAGGGATCATGCTAAATGTCATTTGTGCATTGTATAAATAATGTTATTTACCAGTATATAGACCTACTATTAGTAGAAATTATGTATGGCAGGCTTTCTTGAACAATATGTATTATAAGTTTGTTTCCTATAGTGTTATGCTTCAGATTCTTTTAAATAAAGCTAGTTTTTAGAGAAAAATAACTGCTTTTTAAGTGCTTTCATCAGACAAATAGGTGTGACAGTTTTGGCTTTGGAAATTGCCTAGAATTTTCCAGGAATTTAATTTTATACTGAGGAACAAACCAATATATTTGGACAGGCCTTGCTATATACATACTTTTTTTCCTGTGGAGTTTATACGTAACACTGAGTCCTGTGTTTCCTTAAGAAAATATGAGCATAACATATCTCCATGTTGATTTTAGCAAATTAGGACTTCAGTTCTGTTAATAAAATAATAATTGGAGAGGAGTTCTACAACCTCAGCAGCTTACCGTTCCTTGAACCAGAGACACCACTGTAGCAATATTAAGAACAAACTTGCTTGAATGATAAGATTAGGTTTGCAAAAGATCTTCAAAGTTTGTTTGAAGCAACCATCAGGTGCCTTGAGTCTTACATGAAAAGAGGCTGTATAAAGTGTGATGCATATCAGTTGATGCAACTTGGCATTACAGGTAATAGAAATGACAATAAGAAAATTACATCAAGATAAAATTTGAATGTACAAAAGTTCTATTTAAACATGGAAAGAAAAAAATGAAAATGCATGTATCTTCCCTGCTGTGAGAGAGAAAAAGTGTACAGAGACTTCTGATCCAATAATACTGTCAATCGGTGCTCTCAGGCACCCCCTCTGTTCTATACATACAGCAGTGATAAATATAAAAAGATAAAATTGGGCTCAAAGCCAGCATAGATATATCCAAGGACAGGGAGTAGAGAAAGAAAGCATAAGCCAGTGAAGCAGTGGACTGCCTGACTGGGTCCAGAGCAGAAATTTTGTGCAGTTGGACGTTCTAATGTGACCGGGTAATGAGGCCTTACAAGTACTGCTACATTACAAAGCTTGTCAGATGCAGTAACATTGTACTAAAAGGCAAATGCATAGCTTTAGATAATTTTTAAGCCTCAAATATAATGAGCTAAGTATTGATATTGAGAGGATAAAAGAATAAAAAAATTCTAAGGAAAGTAGAAGGAGGGAACTAAAAGAAGAGGAAATAAAATAGAAAACAAACACTACAGAGGAGTAGGAGAGCCGCAAGTAGGTTATTTAAAAAATTAATAAAATTGATATGCCTGTGGTGAACCTGATTTTTTTTTAAGTGGTAGAAATAAGAGGAATGAAAAGAGGGGTAAAAAAATATAGCACGGCTTTAAGCCAGGGGCTGAGCTGGGGTTCCTCTTCACAGCTGCACCACTTGTGAAAGGAGGCTACAAAGCAAAACCTACCTCCAACTGATACCTGAGGCTCTAGCTCATAGGAAGATGCGGGCCTAAGGTGGCAGAGTGCACAGTTTTGCAGTCTGCTCAATTGGTAACTGGTGTACAGCATCAACAAAGAATTGAAACAGTGAATTAGCGTATAACACTTGGCTGAATTGGGGTCCCAAGGACACAAGTTGGAGGCAACTTAAAACCTCTAGAAAGGAAAAGATGAACCCAGAGGAAAGAAAGAAATATAAAAGACAAAAACCCCACTGTAAATAAAAAATTTCAAAATACGAAGAAATTTGATAAGAAAAACAGCCAACCAACACCTTTTGAAATTTCAATCCACTCACAGTGAAAATAACAGAATAGCCGGGAAAAGACTGTTTCAGGATCCTGAAAGGTAAACTAAAGAATAAAAATAAACATTATGAAACCCATTAAGTAGACATTTATTCATTCAATATTCATTGAGTTTATTTTATCAGACACTGTTTTAGACGCTAAGACTATAGTAAATCAAATAGACAAAAATCACTACTCTAATGAGGTTTTTATTTTAAAGAGACAAAAAGTAAACTATAGAGTATGTTAGGGAATATGTGATATGAAGAAATTAAAAAAGGGGATGAGAATAGGGAATACTGTGGCTGGTAGTGCAAGAAGTGCAAAGAAGTTCATATTTTTTTAATAGTTCATTGAAAAGATAAGTAATGGCGTGAAAGAGAGACAGTCATGCAGATAGCTGGGGAAGAGAATTCCAGACAAGGTACAGCAGGTACATGGCACTGTGGCAGAAGCATGCTTGGCACATTTCAGATATTTAAAGGAGGCCAGTATGTCTGGCTGGAATGGCGTGAACAAGAGGAAGAGTAAAGTGAGATGGGATTAGAAAATTAACAGGAAACCAGATTATGTAGGACTTTGTAGTTCATTCTAAGGTTCTTGGTTTCTACTCTGAGTGAGATAAAAAGTGATTGGAGGGTTTTCAGGGGAGAAGGATCACAAGGACAACTGTGTTGAAAATAGGTAATATATATGAAGAGAATCACACAAAATGATTTGGGGTATTCTCTGGCTTTTCCTAGGGAACCAGCTGTAGGACCTGGACCTCCTGTCTCCCCATGGGAGGGGCTGCACCTGACTTCAGCTTGCCATGGTACTAGTAGTTTCTTTTTTCCAACTAAAACTTTCCATGCAAGTCAATGTATCCAGGTAGCTGGCTTTCGCAGACACGTCTTACAAAGAGTTCACACCTAAACCAAGACTGTCAAGTGCCCCAGTAGTTTCCCTACTGACAAGGTTCCTTTCATGTTTGCCCTATCAGAAGGAAGAGCAGCAAGGGGATGATGGACTTCCTTTCCTGAACTATAAACACACACTGCAGACCCAGCATGGTGCTCTGGCCCCAGTGTGCTTCTCCTTAGGATGATGAGAGAATGGGGCAACTTGTGGGATATTTTTTGGCTTTGCAAGTTTCCATTTCCCCCCAAGAAAACCTATCTTTTAACCTAGTGGTTTTCAAGCTTTAGCATGTATCGTAATTACTTAGTGGGCTTGTTAAAACACAGATTTTTGGGCCCCACTTTCAGAATTTCTGGTTCATTAGGTCTGGAGTGGGATCTGGGAGTCTGCATTTCTAGCAAGTCCCCAGACGATGCTGATATTGGGGTCAGGGAACCACACTCTGAGAACCTCTGTCTTAATTCATGCAGTGTGTCTGTGTAGAAATCAACTCTGTTGGTTAGCACAAAGGATCCCACTGCATGACCTTCACCTAGGAGTTAACCATTTTCCTTTCTTATACTTTCCTTTCCTTTATAGTTTTATCATGTATGTAGGAACCCTTAATCATATATTTGGTTTTCATTATTTTAAATTTTTATGAAAATGGCATTATTCCTTAACAGCCTTATATGACTTGCTTTTTTTAACTCATCCATCCAGTGTATAGCTGTAATTAATTCATTTTTACTGTTATATAGTATTTTCTTGTGTGAATATACCTATCAATAGACATTTGACTTGCTTTCAGGTTTTTTTCTAGGGAGATGCTATGAATAGCTACTTCTTTACTCAATCATAGAATTACCATCTCTTTATTGAAAGGACCTGTCCTCCCCCTCCCTTAGACCTTCCCCCAAATTCTAACACCCTCTTATTGAGACACCCAATAGTGTGTGTGTGTTCTCCCTTGCTCAATGAGTAATGAACTCAACTTGTTCAACTACAGGTTTCCCTGTGGTCTTTGGCTGAAGGGCTTTGGAAAAAAATACACACACACACACACACACACACACACACACAGAGCCAAAATACTGTATACACATTTTAAGAAAGGAAAACTGGATTAAAATTGTAATAATGTATACAGATAACAAAAGATGTATTCAAGCCATGTTTGACTTGTACAATTACAAGAGGTGCTCAAAGTGGTTACCATCAGCATCCAGACACTTCTGATTATGGCGAACTACTGCTTGAGCAACGTTGACCAAAGTGTCCACTTGTATATATTTTTTGGCACCCCCTGATACATATACATATGTATGTATATATTATGTATATATATAATATATAGTTAATATAAAGTTAAAGTATCTTTTTTTTTGGTTAACAGACCGTGCCTCAGGTTTATTTGCATAAATAGTACAGGAGGACCCCAGCCTCATGCAGACAGCAGCCCGGGGGTCACACCAGTCCCTCCATCCTCACACAGGCAGACAGAGGTCTCTACTCTGGAGGCTTTGCAGGGGCCTGGATGGGCACCTTTGGGAGCTGGAGCCTGAGCTGGAGGGAGAGCTGCAGCCGCAGCCACAGCCACAGCCAGGGGCTTTGGTTTGAGCCTTGGCCTTAAACTTTGGCCGGCAGAGCCTGAGACCCTTGGCATTGTGGGCATGAGCACCTTTCTCAATCAAGCTTGGGGTGAGCAATGTAGGCAAGTTGACTGAGCTTGCGGCTGCCGCCCTTTGGGATCTTGGGCTTGACCTCCTTGGGGTTTACGAGGGCCTTGATGGCCTCTACCATGCACTCATGACCTTGGCATTGTTGGCTTGCTACTTCTTCAGGCCCTTGTGCTTCTTGCCAAAACACATGTTCCTCAAGAATTTGGAGTCCACCCTCTCACGAGACTCGTATCTTTGTGATCAGAGTTTCTTGCTGCCATTTCTGTGCCATTTTTGGGACTGGTTGTGTGTGGTATGGTTCTTGGACTTGGTTATGTCTGCACTGAAGCGCACAGGTCCCAGGCAGCTTCCAAAATGCCTGGGATTGGAAGAGAAAGCTAAAATACCTTAACATTCTTTATTGTGCCTTTTGGTGAACACCAGTTGTTAATTTTAGTTCAAGTTTTCAATCTTTTTCTATATGATTAGTTCTTTTTATGTCATATTTATGAAATCCCTTCTTACTCCAAGATCATACAGATACATATTTTTTAAGTCTCAAACTTATATGTCTTCAGTTTATCTGAAATTCATTTTTGTGTGTGACACCATATACATGTAGTGATCCAACCTTATTTTTTCCCATATGGGAACCATTTCTCCTAGCACCAAAGTATTTTATAGTAATTCCTTTCTTTGCTTTTCCCCACTTATGTGCAGAGCCACATATCAAATTTCTATCTATACGTTAGATTAGAGCTTTTTTGTTTTTTAAACCTAGTAAGAAATACAGAGTAAGATTTTAAGATTGAATTAGTTTCAAGGCCTGTGGAATACTTTTTAGACAATTATATAAATCATGAAACAACATATAAACATTAATGATGTTTTAAATTGATATCAGTGGCTGTAATAATTCAATAATAAAATTGATCAGGTTTTGGTTTTTTTTAAAGATATAATTCACTCAGAGTGTAAAAGTTTAGTAAGACTATGGTAGTCAGGAGGACAGTTTCGCTGCAGAGGTGTGTATGTGCTTAACAAATAATTGCTGGTGGATTTTCCTGAAACTCCCTAACATCACAAAGTCTTCTTTGTATCATCTTCCACACACACATTATATCACTTGTGTTTTTATATAGTGTAAGAATCTAGACTTTAAAATTTTATATAAAAGGAATGCATAAACCCTGACTTTTTTTTAGTTTCAGGTGTACAAAACAATGTAGAAGTTATATATTTCACCCCTCACAAAGTGATTACCCCTCTCCCCCAACCCTGACTTTTGAAGACCAAACAGTTTTAAATAAAATGGCAAAAGTAGGAACAGAACAAAAGAGATGTGAGAAATGCCAAAAAGCAACATGAAAAAAGAAGCTATAGGATTGATTCATAAGTGTCTGTACTCTGGGGGGAAAGAGAAAAGAAGTCTAAGATAGCCCCAGTATTCCAAGTTACAGAACTTTGAGATGATAAACATTTGACAAAATTGGGTAAGGTGGCCTGTTTGGGGGAAAATATATATTTTTTTCCTCCTAAATTTCCCTCACGGAATTTTTCAAAAGCTTTGAAATTTGTTAATGACCTCCAAAAATAAAAAGTTAAAAATCCAAATCTCTAGGTGGCAAGTAGTTCGTCATTGCTTAATTTTCATGTATATTCAGGTTTTGTTTGTTTTTAACATCAAATTCCAGTAATTTATAAACGGTCTACAAAAAGTAGCTCTGGGAAAGGACACGGGAATGGGAGTTAGGCGATCAGGAGCTCATTCACAGTTCTGCCACCAATCTAGGTGGCAATGGAGTTAAGTATTTAAATCTGGGATTCCCTAACTATGTAGGATGACAACACGATGTTCAAATTTCCTTACAGCGCTCAAGTTCTAAATCTCCTTAAGCAATAGTAAAATGTATCCGTGTAAATTCAGCTTATCCTACAGTTGAGTTGCAGCCAAGCTTTCGCCAGGTGAGTCATAGGATCGTTTCTCCCCAGTTCTCAAAACATGGTTTTGGTGGCCTTACAGTTGACAGGATTTGAAGGACTACAATAGTACAGGCAGACCGCAGGCCAGGAAAACAGGAACACTAGAGGGTCCTAACTCTTACAGCCTCCACCAGAGCGAACAGAAGGCTAGGTCTGCAATGGCGTGTGGGCGTCGCACCTGCTGCTTGTGGTCACACTTTCCTATGCTGTAAAACCAACTCTCTTTTTTGCATTCTAAGGTGTGAAATCCTTGTCTTGCCTGAGCGGATGCGGGCCTACCTTGGAGATTCGCTCAGACTGTGCGGAAGGAATAAGACCCTAAGAAACCGTATAAAGGCCGCTGCAGGGCGCCCAGGCAGTCAGGAGGGGAGTGCGCGGAGATCACAGGGGCGCCGCGCCGGGGCCTGACCCGGAAGGGCTGGCGCGTGGTAACCGGCTTCCCTAGCAACCGAGCAGGCGCGAGTCCTAACCCGCCGGCCCAGCGGCTGCGTCCGCCTCCCGCGATGCCGCTGCAGGTGAGCGATTACAGCTGGCAGCAGACGAAGACTACGGTCTTTATCTCTGTGCCCCTCCGAGGCGTCTGCGTCCGAGATGCGGACGTGTTCTGCACGGAAAACTATCTGAAGGTAGGGACGCGAGCGGTGCCTGCCGGCTCCCCGGGGGTGTGGCCCGCAGCTTCTGCGAGTGCGCCGCTGTAAACACGCAACAGGCGCGCCCTTGCGGAAGAGCGTCTTCCAATTTTAGTCCTGTTAAGAGCAAAACAAAAGAAAACAAAAACGAACCCCATACAGGTAACACCTCACCTGTAGACAGATGTCATCAAAGGTTTTTTTGTTTTGTTTTGTTATTTTAAAGATTTCATTGGGGAGTGGGAGAGGGGAACAGCGTTGGGGAACCGGGGAAGGGGAACAGACAAGTTGTGTCCTTTTGTTCTTCAGTCTAGTTGTGGAAGACCTCGCCTTACTGACCCATGTTGGTATTATCATTGCGCCCTCCCCGGATGAGGCGTCGCTCACCGGCCATTGGATGGCCACTCACGGTAGCTGGCGGCAGCCCACTGCAGCCCCACTGCAGCCTACGCCATTGCTAGCGACTCAGGCAGCCCAGCTGCAGGTCGAGCTGTTGTTCACCATCTTAGCTGTAGAGGGCAGTGTCACTGGCCCTCATGTGGGATCCAAACCGGGGCCCTGCTGCTCAGAGAGGTTTTTTTTTTTTTTAATCTAGGGCTTCCTACATATGCCTTGCTAATCTTTCATGACCTGGAGTACATTTATAGCAGGCATTTAAGAAAATGATTTTGACCTCTATCGCTTATTTCTTAACGTCTGTGTCTTTATTGTGTGTAACTAAATTAACTTCCGTTTCCCCCCCTCCTGAATAGGTCAGCTTTCCTCCATTTTTGTTTGAGGTGTTTCTCTACGCTCCTATAGACGATGAGAGCAGCAAAGCCAAGATTGGGAATAACACTATTATTTTCACCTTACATAAAAAAGAAGCGGCCATGTGGGAGACCCTTTCAGTGTCAGGTGGTAAGTTCTTTATTAAAAGATATTCATCTGGTTGTGCGTTTTATAGTTTATACCTTTTTAAAAATTCCCTTTAGAAAAAATTATGTTGCTTTTCTAGAAAAAAAACAGGCACATGAGCATGATTTAAATGAGATAGTGCTTCAGCAGCCGCTTAAAATAAATGTCCTAAAAATTGAATTATTAAAAAATTAGAGCCCATTAATAGTAACTTTTTAAAAAAGATTTTATTGGGGAATTGGGGGAGGGGAACAACGCTGGTGAATCCGGAAAGGGAAACAGACAAGTTGCTGTTCTTTTGTCCTTCAGTCTAGTTGTGGAGGACGTTGCTTCACTGGCCTGTGTTGGTATTATCATTGCACTCTTCCCAGGTGAGGCAGTCGCTAGCCGGCCATTGGACAGGCTGCTCAGGGCAGCTCGCAAAAGCTCACACCAGCTGCCAGCCAGCCCCATTGCAGTCTAGGCTGTCCCAGGAGACTCACAGCAGCCCAGCTTCAGGTCGAGCTGTTATTCATCATCTTAGCTGTAGAGGGTGCAGCATCACTGGCCCTCATGTGGGATCTGAACCGGGGCGCTGCTGCTCAGAGCTGGTGTTCCAAGCCAACTTCTAACCAATGCACCACTTAGCCGGCCCTAATAATAACTTTTAAGCAGAAGATGTGGGTTTGTATTTTTAGTGGATAAAGCCTTCTGATATGGCCTTTATTGAGCACTTGTGTATTTTGTATTCAGCATTAGCACATCTGTTAATCCTCACAACAACCTATCTGTTTGGTCCCTCCTCCCCGCCCCCCTGTTTTTTTAAGCTGAGGCTACTGAGGCACAGAGGGTTTAATAATTGACAAAAGTCAGGGCCGGCCAAGTGGTGCAGTTGGTTAAGAGCTCGATCAACAGTGTGAGCTCTGAGCAACAGGGTTGCCAGTTTGAGTCCTGGCCTGAGCTGAGCTGCTGTTGAGCTGCCAACAGGAGGTAGGATGGCTCAGCTAAAAATAATAATAATAATTGACGAAGGTCACACAACTAGTAAGTGGCAGACTGGACCAGGAGTCATAGCGGTTTCACTCTAGAGCAGTGGTTCTCAACCCTGGCTACATATTTGAATCACCTGTAAAAACTTTAAATAATACAGATGTCTGAAACTTACCCTCAAACAGTCAAATCAGTTTCTTGGAGTGGGATGCAGATATCGGTAGTTTTTAAAAAGCTTTCCAGGAATCCAGGAATTATAATGTGTAAAACTGAGATTCCCTATTCTCTGTACTCTTAATAAGTACTCTATGATCTTCTGCCACGAACAGTTTTGAGGATCGGTAATTGCCCTCTACTGCTTTAGCTCCATTTTCTTCTTCCTTCTTCTGTTTGTCATGTGTTCTAGTGCTTTAGCCTCTACTGCCTGAAATTTCTCGCCGGTCTCTGGCATTAAGTCTTCCGTAGGAATAGTAAGAATAGAGAGATTGCAATTCTTTATGTTAATGCTTTCTTGGTATCTTGCAGTGGAATTTAATTTTTTTAATCTTCAGAACCAGTAAAATTTTTCTCTAAGACCTGGTATTCAGGTCAGAAAATACTGATAGGTTACCATAGGCAAGTTACTTTAGTGAGTCCCAGACTAAATGAGATTTTTTTTTTTTTAAAGATTTTATTGGGGATTGGGGGAGGGGAACAGCGCTGGGGAATCGGAGAAGGGGAACAGACAAGTTGCTGTCTTTTTGTTCTTCAGCCTAGTAGTGGAAGACGTCGTTTTACTGGCCCATGTTGGTATTATCATTGTGCTCTTCCCGGCTGAGGCAGATCGGTCGCCGGCCACTGGACGGCCTCTCACAGCGGCTCTTGGCAGCTCACACTGGCTGCCAGACACTCACAGTAGCTCACGGTACAGCCCACTGTAGCCCCACTGCAGCCTATGCCATTGCTGGTGACTCAACGGCAGCCCAGCTCCAGGTCGAGCTTTTGTTCACAATCTTAGCTATAGAGGGTACAGTGTCACCGGCCCCCATGTGGGATCCGAACCAGGGCCCTGCTGCTCAGAGCTGGCATCCCAAGCCAGCTCTTAACCAACATGCCATTCGGCCGGCCCAAGATTTTAAAAATCAGGTTACTGCTCTCTCCTCCCCCCATCTTCTCAGTAAATCTGAGATGGGGCCTGGGAGTATGTCATGAAACACACCCATGTTCTGACTTCTTACCTAAGATTAAATGTAAATACTACTTTCATTTATTTCTATTGTTGTTAATCATCTTAATTTTGAAGTTAGATGGGACTAGAGCCATCATCTGTTATAATGGCTTATTTTGAAATAAACAGATGAAGGGTGGTGGTGGGACTCCTCAGGTGATACTGATGACTGGTCAGGTTTGAGAACCACTGACTTAAAGGGGGGAGGGGTGTATATAGGTATGCGTGTCCCTTGGTGGCCAACAGATTTTTCCAGGAAACATTTTGTCCACCAACTTTTTAGGATGTAAAAAAGGGTCATATCAGAAAACCTGATACTTTACCCTATTTTTGACATGAAACATTTTCCTCTGTATCAAATTGCATTTTTAACCTGATTGGCCACCCTATCTAGGAGTGAGAAGGGATTTTCTTTCCTAATCATGATCTCCTTCATCTGCTTTCAGTATACGTTTCATTCTTCTCTTTGATGGATATGTGGTCAACTCTTACAGATTTTGACCTTTTAACCCAAGGTTTGGCAAACTTTTTCTATAGAGGAGCAGATAATATTTTGGATTTTGTGGGCTATATCATCTCTGTCACAATTAACTTAGCTTTGCCATTGTAGCACAAAAGCAGCCATAGACAACATGTATTTATTGATACTGAAATTTGCATTTAATCTAATTTTTATATGTCACAAAATACTATTGTTTTGATTTTTTTTCAACTATTTAAAAAAATGTAAAAGTTATCTTTGCTTGTAGAGAACAGGCAGCTGGTTGGATTTGGCTATAGTTTGCCAACCTCTATCTAGACTAGTTAGAACAGTCTTAAAATTAAAGTTACATGGCAAGTAATGAGCATTGATTTTACTTCAGAAACTGGTTTGAGATTTCTTTAGAGATCAAACAGTCTTGCATGCAATTCAGTGAAATTATTTCTTGAACAATATTTTTTCACATAAAGTATTATGGAACTCCAGTCTATACTCCAAGCCTGTCTCCCTCATTATTTAAAATATATTTGCTTCTTTTTTTCGGAAGTTCCTTCTTCATACACTTTTTATTTCTTTTAGACCTGGAACATTTCATTTGGAAAGTTGATGTTCTTTTAATTATTTCTGTCCCTGAAGCCAGTCCAACTGTCTGCCACCCTGTTACTAAACAGGAAAAGAGTTGGGGAGAGGCTTCAGACCTAATTCCAGTCCTAATTCCGAGCCAAGATCTTGGATGAGTAAAAATTCCATACTTTTTACTTACCTCTAACTGAAATTTAAAGTTCCCCTCAATTGTGAATGTAGACAACAAACAACAGTAGCATCAACAAAAATCACAAATATGTTTATATCACAGGTACTTGTCCTTTATACTCACTATTTTGAAGTTATAGTATCTATTAGACTTGTCACTACATATTATTTAAGGCATTAATAAGGAGCATGTATTAATTTTTTAATTAGTTTATTTTTTTTAATATTTTATGTTTAATAAAGCTAGTTTTCTTTGTAATCCTGTGTATTTTATTTCATGCATTTAAAAACATTATGAAGAAACTATTCTGCCTAGGGGTTGGCTACACCAAAAAGGTTAAGAACCCCTGCCTAGGGCCTGATGCACCCCTCCACCCTTCTCCCACCCTACTCTCCCCCACTTCACCCTCTCCTCCCAAGTTTTCTCTCCCCCCTGTTTTTTTTTCCCCTCAAAGTCTAGATCCCTTCCTGATCCCACTTCCCATAAGATAATTTACCCCCTTATGGATCACAGCCTGTGTGTAAAACATTGAGTCACTAAATACAAAAATAGCTGTGAATGGTAAAATTCTGTATATAACATGTCATGTTTCTTTATAATTTTTCCAAGGGCTGGCCCTGTACTCTTCATATGTATAAGTTACCTTTTGTGTTTATGAAGGTGATTGATCATATGAGATAGTCTCAACCCATTTTCTCTTCTAGACCCCATAGTGATGATTTATTGTGATCAGGTTTATAAGCAAATAGCCCTGCTTCTCAACAGAGAGGAAGATAAATATGTTCTCTTTCCCCCATCTTGTCCCCTCACTCTACCTTTCTGTCTTCCCCCTCCCTTCCTCTCATTCCTCTACCCTCTCTTTCCCTCTTGTGCCTCTCTATTCGCTCCTCTCCCACCCCTGTCCTGTGCCCCTCCTCATTTCCCCTTTTATTCCCCCTCTCCGTTGTTTGTTCTCTCTCCCCGCCTAGTAATTAATTACTATACAGTTACTTGCCTACCTTTTAATGTTAGCTTCTTGGCCAGTTTAATATTGAGAAATTTTTTCACTTCTCCATGTGAAATTGGGTCCAAAACATATGTCATCCTGTATCATAATGTTAAGCAGTTTTCTCCTAAGTGAAACAAATGTTATCATAATCCTAATTTAGTGATATTACTTATGTTTTAGTTGACAAAGAGATGATGCAAAGAATAAGAGAGAAATCTATTTTACAAGCCCAAGAAAGAGCAAAAGAAGCTACAGAAGCAAAAGCTGCAGCAAGGCGGGAAGATCAAAAATACACACTAAGTGTCATGATGAAGGTAAGTTGCAGATTGATAGGAAAGTCCTCTAATTAAAGAGATGACAATAAACTATATAAGGATAATTAATTCCAACCACTGTATTTCCTCATCTTTTTGTTCATACTTTGGTTATAGGACTTACTATGTTATATAGGCTATCGACTACTTACATGTGTTCCTGAAAAATCTTTGTGGAAGTTGAGGGTATAAATGTTGAACAATAGATTTATGTGTTTCAGGGAAAATTTCCTATTTCCAAGGTAGTAAAAAATGATAAGGTTCTATGGTATAGTTTACGTCTTCTTTAATCGTGGACTTGTGGACACAATTATTTAAAGCAAAAGCTTGGAATAAATATGGAATATTGATAAATTAATATCTTTTTAACTGTTGATGATTTCAAGTTAAAGCTTCTGTCAGCAATATTTTTTGAGATATAATTCACATACCATATAATTCACCCATTTAAAGCTTATAATCAGTGGTTTTTAGTATATGCGTAGTTAGAGGTGTGCAGCAGTCATCACAATTAATTTTAGAACATTTTCATCACCCCAGAAAGAAACCCCATACCCATAAGCAATCACTCTCCATTCCTCCCATCCCCTAGCCCATTGCAACCATTCTATATAGATTTACCTCTTCTGACTAATTTTTACAAGTAATTTCTTATCTCAAATTTTCATTTTGACATCTTAAAATGATTAAAGAATCTATTGTATAACAAGCATTATCTCATCAAGAGCTCTGTGAACCCATGACCCTTATTTTGCATGTGTATCACTAGTTTTGTTTTTATAATCAACAGTTTATAATTCCCAAGGTTTCTCCACTTAGTTTATCACTTTTACTTGACTTTTAAATATAGCCTCTATATATATATATATATATTTATATTTATTTATTTATTTATTTATTTATTTATTTATTTATTTATTTATTTCATCTTTTACTTAATTGAACATGTGGTCAGCTGACCAAAGATTCCTGCCTTCAGTATACTTGATGAGTTCCAGCTTTTCTTGATTGTATTAATCACTGCTGTCAGCCTTTTGATTTTATCATTTTCCTGAATTTTTAAAAATAAAAGCAAATAATATAAAATTTGTGGCAACAGATAAATATTTACTGAACTAATAAGACAGTTAAATAATGGCACACCGTGCTTTATTGGTAAATATAACAAAATGAAACAATTGTTTGGTAGGCAGTACCACCATGCTATACCTTGAAGTTATTAATCTACTGATATGTGAAAGCCTGACTTTGGTATTTGAAAAGGTGGTTAGGGGCATTAATGTATAAAATATGAAGCTGTAGGTTATATCAAAGTGGGGAGAGCCTGTAAAAGTCTTAGCCTATCTGCAGATTATCTGTTTTGTGTTTTTCCTTCAGTCATTTTGAGAGTTGGGACTGTTTTCTCCGTCCTTTTATAGCCATTGTCAAGTAAATAGTAGGTGCTCAAATATTTGAATGAATTAATGTGACTGCATTGCCCTAGTACTCTGTAATCATAGCAGAATTCTATTTTGGTGGATAAATGAAGCTATTTTCACTTTGTCCAATTTTAGACACCATTCAGAAAAGAACTTTGATGGTCCAATAAGAGCAGATGAAGATGTATGACAACAAAAGGCAACCTATTATTAGCTTAAACCATAAACTAGCTTAAAACTTGAATTACATCTACCAAAAAAATAATAGTTGTTAAGTAGTAACCTTTTAAAAATAATTAGTAGGAGTAGTGCTAAGACTTACTGTGTCAGTTCACTGTGCTGTATTAGTCTGCTCAGGCTAACATAACACAATACCACAAACTGGATGGCTTAAAAAGACATTGATTTGGGGGAGCAGGGAGTGGGGTGGCAGATTCGGGGAGGGAGGTAGTCACTTTGGGGGGTAAAACGTATAACTATTGCACTGTGTTGTACACCTGAAACTAATTTTAAAAAATTAATTAATTAAAAAAAGACGTTGATTTTCTCACAGTTCTAGAGTCTAGAAGTCTCAGAACAAGGTCCAGCAGGGTTGGATTCTGATGAGAAATCTATTCCTGGCTTGCAGATGGTTGAGAGAGAGAGAGAGAGAGAGAGAGAGAGAGAGAGAGAGAGAGAGAGAGAGAGAGAGAGATCTGATGTCTCTTCTGATAAGGACACTAATCCTATTGTATCAGGGCCCTGCCCTCATGACCTCATTTAACCTTAATTACTTTTTCAGAGGCACATTTTCAAATATAGTCACACTGGCACAGGGTGGGGAGGCAGGCGGTGGTCAATTAAGTTCCTGAACTCATCCTAGAAAAACTGCTACATACCTCCTTGCTGAATATCACTATGATCACCTTTGAAGTACTCCCCTTGGGAAGCTATGCACTGATGCCAGCGCCTAGTCCACCCTAGGCGGACTAGGGTGGAAGCAATTTTGGAACTTTTTTTCTGGAATGGCCATCAGAGCTGTTGTCATTTTACCCTTAATGTCCTGAATGTCATCAGAATGTCTTCCTCTCAATATTTCCTTTATCTTCAGGTAAAGAAAAAAGTCATCGGGGGCCAGATCGGGTGAGTAGGGAGGGTGTTCCAATACAGTTATTTGTTTGCTGGCTAAAAACTCCCTCACAGACAGTGCCGTGTGAGCTGGTGCATTGTCGTGATGCAAGAGCCATGGATTGTTGTTTAGGTCATCTGACTTTTTCATGCAGCCTTTTCAACACTTCCAAATAGTAAACTTGGTCAACTGTTTGTCCAGTTGGTACAAATTCATAATGAATTAATCCCTCTGATATCAAAAAAGGATAGCAACATCATTGCAACAAAGTTCGAGAACTTAATTGTCAGGCCATTTATACATTTTTAGGGGGACACAAACATTCAGTCAATAACACTGTGTAATAAACTATTCAAAATTTAGTGGCTTAAAACCACAGACATTTCCCCCTTTCCCTAAGCCTCTGGAAACCACCATTTTATTGTCTGTTTCTATGAATTTAATTGCTCTAGGTACCTAAGTAGGATCATACCATATTTGTCCTTTTGTGACTGCCTTATTTCATTTAGCATAATGTCTTCAACCTTATCCATATTACAGCATGTGTCAGAATTTTTTCCTTTTAAGGCTGAATAATGTTTGGTTTATGTATATACCACATTTTGTTTATCTGTTTGTACTGTCTTTTATACTTAACGTACATATTTACCATTTCCCATACTCCATTCCTTCTTATAGATCTGAGTTAGTGTCTGGTGCCATTTCTTTTCAGCCTGAAGAACTTTCTCTTGCATATCTTGTAGGGCAGGTCTGCTAGCAATGAATTCTTTCAGCTTTTATTTATCTTAGAATATGTTTATTTCATCTGCATTTATGAAGAATAGTTTTGCTGGGTATAGAATTTTTGGTTTATAGTTTTTTTCTGTCAGTGCTTTGAACATGTCATTTCACTGCCTTCTGTCCGCCATAGTTTCTAGTGAGTAATCAACCTTCAATTGTGTTGTTTTTCCCTTGTATATGATGGGTCTTTTTTCTCTTGCTGCTTTAAAGATTTTCCTCTTTGTGTTTGGCTTTTTTATTAATTTTGCAGTTTAACTAACATATCTAGGTGTACATCTTTGTGTTAATTTTACTTTGGATTTGTTGAACTTTTTGGGGCTACAGAGTAATGTTTTCATCAAATTTGAGAAATTTTTACAGATTATTTCTTAAAATATTTTTGGTTGAAAACTGGATATTTAGTTAATAATTTATAGCAGTTTTGGATTCTGTGTTATTTGTTTTTTGTTTATTTATTGAGGAGTGTTTATTTTTTAGTAACTTGCTTAGACTTTAACTGTGGAATCAGGCTAGTCTCCCTAGTGGTATACAGCTACTAATGTCTCTGCTAAGTTTCTTTATTCTTGTTTTTAAGACTGGCTTCTTTAGGGGCTTCCTTGTGTCTGCATAGCTTAACTGTTAGCCAGAACTTTAGGCAGAGGTGATAAAGTCACCCACCCTTTGCTGATTGATCTATGTTTAAGTTTGAGAATACCTTCAAAATTGGAGCCAGTTCTCATGCTTACCTTGGCTTCACTTTGTGCCAGTCTTCCTCACGTCTCCCCCACACATACACAGCTTTCTGTTTTGCTAGGGTTGTATGGTGAGATTATTACTGTAGATTTTCAATACCTGTCTTATTTATATGGTTTTAATGTTAATTTTCTAACTAGTCAAGCACTCACCTTAACCAGGACCTAGACTGCAAATTCTTCCTGTCCATTACCAACCATGTCTACCGCTTTTATTCATCAAAGCCACAGGTTTTTGCTACTCCACCCTGAAATGTGCCCACCCTTTTTGCCAACAAAGCTGCTATATTATTTTGTTAGCTTCATGTTGGTAAAACTGCCAATTTCATTATTCCGGCTGGAAATGGGTGGTTGGGAACAACCTCAGACATCAGGGCACAGCCTCCCACTGTTCTTACCTGCAACTTTAGCAGTTTTTCTAGAACGAACACTTCTCAATTTCCAGGCTGTCCTTGTTTAATTTCCAGGGTTATAAAATGGTTGTTTTTGATAGCTTTCTCCAGTTTTACACTTGATATTTGTGGATGGGAATTGCCAACCTCTTCATGGCTCTCTATAAAACCTGCACATTTTCTTTTGTGGATGAATTTTACATTTACTTATCAAGCTCTCTAAGAAGTTCTCTTGGTGCTTTGATTAGATTTACATTGACTTTAGAAATTAATTTGGAGAATGTCAGCATATTTACAATATTGCGATTTCCCTAAAGGAACATGGTATTCGTCTCCATTTCTTCAGACTTACTTTATATCCCCAGGAAAATTATTTAGCAAACATGGGACTTGCTCATATTTTGTTAAGCTTATTTTTAGCCTTTTAAAAGTTTTTTCTGGCAATTACTAATGAAATGATTTTTTTTCACTGTATTTTTCTAATCATTAATTGCCAGTTTGTAGGAAAGTTAGTTTGTTTTTATGAGTTTGTATAAGTTGATCTTGTATGTGACTGCCATGCTAAACTTACTTGTTGGTTCTAATAGTTTGTCAGTTTGTTATTTTGGTTCTTTTAGGTAGTCTAACATATTATTTTCAAATAATGTCAGTTCTATCTCCTTATTATCCTTATTTCTATTTCTTATTTTTCAAATTCTATTGTATAGGTTGTCTCTAGGAAAATAGTAAAATATGTAGGCATACTGCCTTTAGTGACTTTGCTAGAAGTATTTTTAATGCTTCTCCATAAAGTGTATGACATTGTATGGGTACTTTTATCAATCTAAAATTTTTCTTTTATTCTTAGTATCAACCAATATTTTGGCATATACTGAGGCCAATATATAGAATATATTGTTTTTCTCTTTTGATTTCCTAATATCATAAATAAGAAACACCCTATTTGATCAAGATATATTATAATTTTAATATTTTCCTCTGCTCAACTAATATTTTATTTATGATTTTGGCATGTAATCCATAAGTAAGGGGGGTCAGTAAAGAAAAATGCCTTGATAATCCAGACATTCAAATTAAAAGAAACATATATTTCCCCTTCAGGAATTAGATTTAGGAGCTGCTTATTATTCTATTACTTAAATATGCTATCTGTGTTAAACTAACATCCCATACCTCTATGACATCCTTTTTAGAGAAGTACAAAGCACTTAAAATCCAGTTTCTTTATGTGCAATGATTGTTTTTCTAGCCTTCTAAGTTTTTCTGTTACTACACATTTCTCCTTTAAATATATTTCTCATATCACTTAAAAAAAAAAAGAACAAGTATTGTTTAACACTTGTCGCTGTTCCTCTTTGATACATGTAGTCTCCCTTTTTCTTTAATCATAAGCTTTGTGGTATTACCTTCTTTATGTTTTTCTCTTCATTCTAGTTCCTTCTGTCATGTGCTCTATGAAGACTTTCTTGGTCTCCCCTCTTCCTCATTACTCATTAGACTATTTTTTTGTCTCTAATATAACTTATTATAAATTGTATATGTATTTCCCTTAACGACATCTTAGTTGTAATAACAGAACTTTCCTGTTAGTTTTGATTATAAGAATAGTCTCATTTTTGGGTAATTAAGTCTTCTTCTTATGCATTTTTTTTAAACTTTTCAAAATTCACTTCGCTTGCAGGGATTTCATATGAGTGGTGAAGGTGTTCTGACTCTTCACATACTTTTCCCTTCTTCAGTGTATTGGGGGCAGCGAGGCAGGAAAGGAAGAAAGGTAAACATGTTATTAAACGGGGTGAGGTTGTCATCTCCTTTTAGGTTGTGGCTGCCTCTGGCTAACTCAGACTGTTCATCATGCCCTGTTGTCAGGCATTAAATGCTGGCTCATTGCCATCTGCACATTCTTCCTGGCCCAACCTACTGGCAGCTCTCTGAACTTAGAACACATAGTAATTAGCATCTTCTGTGCTTAGCTTAGGCCTTAGCTGCAATTCTGGGACTACAGGAAACTCCTGTTCAGTAATCTGTGAAATCTATCTTAAAATCAGTGTTACACAGTTCAGTAGGAAAATAACCAGAAAAGGGTATTAGGTCATGCAGATATTGCAGAGCACTTCTTCAGTAGAGTTTTCATGCTTATAACGTTAATTCTATAGCCTCAAATAATTCAGCCTCCAGAAAACTTGGTCCCAGCATGTCATTCTAGAGCTGTGCCAGATGTATTATTTAAATGTGTATGAATTTACATTTAAATTAATGGAACTAAAATAAAATTAAAAATCAGTTCCGCCGTCACACTAGTCACATTTTAAGTGCTTAGTCAGTCACATGTGATAGTGGCTACTGAGTTGGATCATCACAGAACATCATCGAAAAAAGTTCTGTTAGACACTGCTTTCCCCACAGGATAGAGTGAGCATTTTTGTTCTCTAGAAGATTGAGGCGAGAATATTTTTATTACTGTAGGAAAGTCAGGTACCTACAGTCAGTCATATACATCAATCAGTTACTCTATTTTTCTTGCCAATATGAGGGAAGTTTGTGAAAGGAGAAAAGTTAACATACTCTAGTGCCATATACTGCTTTCAAATTTAACTAATATTTAGCTTTTCATGTGGAAGTGTCAAATAATGGCTATTGCAAACATAGTTGGCAGCAGGATTCAAAAGTCAACCATTTCCACCCACCAGAGACAAACGCCTTAATTCATCCTTCATGTAACTATTCCCTCATTCCTCAGGTGAAGGTTGGTGCAACTTCAGTCCTAAGAAAAGGTAAAACTGGTGTAAGTAGAAAGGTAAATATTTGTGTGTGTGTGTGTGTGTTTAGGTGACTTGACTTTTAGAAAAACAAATTTTTTTATTTTTACCAAGCCCTTAGATTCATCTAATTGAATGCACACATTTTACATATGAGTAAACTGAGGCTACAGAAAGGGATTGCCCAGGACTATAGCAAGTTAATGGTAAACCTGAAGCCTGTGTTTTATGATACCCAAATCATTGGGCGTTCTGCTAAATCGTTTACTATTTCCATTTAATCCTTTATTCACTAATTATTGCTGCAGATACAATGACAAGAGTTTAGAGGTAAAAATAGTTATTACAATGAATTTATTATGTTTTAAATGTTGCTTTTTCTGTTTTAAATTTTTTGGTAATTGCAATTTTTGCAGATTGAAGAAGAGGAGAGAAAAAAAATAGAAGATATGAAAGAAAATGAACGGATAAAAGCAACTAAAGAATTAGAAGCCTGGAAAGAACATCAAAGAAAAGCTGAAGAACAAAAAAGATTTCAGAGAGAAGAGAAATCACATCAACAAGAAAAACGAATTGAAGAAGAGGGGAAAAAATTAAAACATAAAAGTCTTACTAAAAATTCAGCATCTAGAAATCTTGCTACAAAAGGTACAATGATTGATATTTTCTGGGAAAGTGAGTCCTGTTGGTAAAAAGTATATATGTCATTTTTTATTGTTGTTGTAATCTATTTACATTAGGTCATTATCTTGGTATATCGAGAATAAGTACTACAGTACAAAGACTAAGGTGAAAGACATTTCTTTTTCTAGGAAGTAGTGAAGTTTTCATAATAAAATGAGCAAGGATTCAGTGTTGCTTTTGCTTGTGTGCTTTCTTTGGAAATGTATGCAGATGTTGTTAAATATGTGTTCAACTCAGGTCACGAAGACGTGGAGTGACTGGCAGTGCCAGGAGCATTCAGTTCTTTAGAGATAAGAAAACTAGGAATTTTGTTAAAAGACTCTTCCCTTACATGGCTAAGCAAACTTAGTCTTAAGTGTGTTCAAAAGAGTTAAAAGAACATTTTTTTTATTGAAAGCTCAGAGACTGATTTTATCAGATTTTAGAATACTGTATTTCCCCATGTATAAGACGCACCTTAATTTTGGGGCCCGAATTTTGAAAAAAAATGTATTACATAGCTTCATTTTCATCAGCAATTCTTCTCACCTCATGCTGAACCATCTTTGTGGACACAGGAATTCCAATTGCCCTTTGCTCTTCAATCCATATCTTCAAGTCCCTCTCTAAATCTGGCCATTTTGCAGACTTGCTTCTCATGGCCTTCTTCTGCCGTGGCGTTTTCAATAGGGTTTCTTTTTCCCATAGCCAGTCTCGAATTGTTTTTTCAGTTGGAGGAGGACCAAACTTACGTTCAGCAGCACGATTTCCATTCACTTTTGCAAACTGGATCACTTTTAATTTGAATTCAGCACCGTATGAAAATCTTTTCTGAGCCATTTCTGGGCAGAACATGGCAAAACATAACCTACCGTAATATACCGGTAACAAGTGCAAAACTGCGCGCAAAGACAAGTGCGAAAAAGCGTGAAATGGAAGTTAAAAAAAATCTGCAACCACTGTATAAGACGCACCCAGTTTTTAGACCCCAAATTTTTCGAAAAAGGGTGTGTCTTATACATGGAGAAATATGGTATTAGACTTGTGTATATTTAGTATATTTAGTAAATTGAACATTTTCTTTAAAGCTGCTTATGTAATAATAATAATAATAATAATAATTAACATTTATTGGCAATCACTCTATGCCAGGTGATTTTATTGGTTGTATCACTCAACCTTCACAACACTTTGGGTTAAGTGTTGCTATTCTTATTTTAGAGGAAATAGATGTTCAGAAAGGATAAATAGATACCTAATAAATAAGCCTGTGAGATTTGAACCCAGATCTGTCTGTATTGAAACCTATGCTCTTTCTTTTCGACTATACCCATATGTCTTTAACAGTGAGGTCTAGCATATTGAAAAGTCATTTAGAATGAATATTAAGCAGTAACCATTATTAAATGTATATATGTTATTATGGTTTAATATTGACACACAAGTTAATAGATAAGAAGTATTCTGAAGTTCTTGATCATGTTGATTTTTATACAGCTTAACTCAATTTGCTAGTATTTTATAAATGATTTTTATGTTTATTTTCATATTGATATTCACTTACATTTTTCCTTCATACTCCGCTGGTCCAGATTTGATACCAAATTACACTAACCCCATAATTTATGGAGCTTTCTTCTTTTTCTGTTCTTTGAAACAATTTGATTATATATGAAATATTGTTGCTTGAAGGCTTAATAAAACTACTCCTAACACTGTCTAGGTATGGACTAATTATGGAAGTACATTTAGTTTCTATAATTGTTACTGGTTATTTAGATTTTTTTATTTTTTCAAGTCAATTTTGGCAATTTGTTTTCTAGGAAATTGTACATATTATCTTTTCAAATTTATTGGCATAGTTTCTTTTATTTGCTTATCTCTACTCTGTCTATAATTATATAATTTCTGTATTCCTAGTACTGTTTTGTTTTTCCTTGTTCAACTATTGCAGGGTTTTGCAAATTTTATTTGTAAGTTCATAAAAGCATTTTTTGGTTTTGTTGATCCTTTTTATTGTTTCTTTTTTTTCTATTCCTTTAATTCTCATTTGTTTTTATAATGCTTCTTCTAGTTATTCTGGGTTTTTTCTGTTCTTTGTCCAATTTGTTTTCATTATTTTTAAGTACTGTGTTACAGTATGTTTGCTGAGTCTTGAAATCTTGTATTCTGCTGTCCTTTACTTGAAAATATTTTGTAGCCCATCATGATTTTTTTCTTTGCCCCTTGAATTATTAGGGAGATTCTCTTTTTTAACTTTCCAAAGGATAGTATTATTAGTATAATAATCTGAAGTGACATACTTCATTTTACTTTTTATTCTATTTTCCTTCTTTTATACTAACATTTAAAAGTCTTGTTCAGAACATATTTTTGTGTGTTCTCCACTGCTTTAGAAAACCCACTTTTTTTTTCATTTTTGCCTTCAAGTTCCCCACTCCAGGGCTCTTAATTTTATTTTGCCATGTTCTGGAACATTTCCTTGAGTAATTTATTCAGAAAAGATGGCTAGGTGGTATATTTAGGAATGCCATTTGTCTTCACAAGTAAGCAATAGTTTACTTGGATATAAAATTCTTGGGACATTGTATTAGGTAGTTTCAAGCTAACTGTTGTAATAAAGAGATCCTAAATTACAGATCAAATAAGAGAAATTTAGTTTTCTGTAATCTAATACTTGTTATGTAACAGTGATCAATTTAGGCCTATTAGATGAATTTGTTCCACAAGGCCATCCAGGCTGGTGGGGCCACCTCTGTTATCACAGCATTTGGCTTTCATCTTTGGGTCCAAGGTGAATGCTGCAGTTTTCATTGTTTTTTAGCCAGTGGGAAGGGGGACGAGGAAGACCACAGCAAGTAGATTTACTTGTAAGGTGATGATCCACAAGTGGTATACATCACTTCTGTTCACATTCTGCTGTCTCAGGTGTGGCACTTAACCACACCTAATCCTAAGCGAGGCTGGGTTATGTAGAGCCTAGCCTGGCATTATCATGTGCCTAGCTCAGATCTCAAACTCTGTTACTAGAAGGAAGCGGGGAGAATGGCTAGAAGGACAGTGTTCTCGACCAGAGGCTTCTGTAGAAAATATTTGCTCAAATTTTTATTGATGTTGCTTTCTTGTTTGAGTCCTATTCTTTCCTCTTTGTCCCCCTCCTTCCTCTCTTTGAAATGTCATTTCAGGCCATTTTCAAATGTTTTTCATTGGAATGTTTCTTTTGTTATTTGTATGTGTTCATTTTCTATCAAGGATATTGACTGTGGAAAATCTTTTTTTATATCCATTTTGATATGTGCCTTTTTAATCTATATATCATATTTTTGGCACTTTTGCATTTTTTAGGCGCGTTCTTTCCATTTATTCACATAGTTTATATTCTAATACATAGATTAATTTTTCCTCTTATTAGGCTTAACAATCATTATATCTAACTACCTTTATGAAAATATATAGCTTTTCATTATTACTCTTTGTCCTCATTAGCTCTCTCTGGTGGCTGAAAACTTGTATACCATCCCAAGAAAGCTTATAGAAGATATTGCTGTAGGAGCTTAAGAAAATAGAGATGGTGTTGGCAGGGATGGCTTTGCCTCCTAGGTGCCCTCCTCTAGAGTTGATGTGGAGTTGCCTTGAGTGCCTCCCCTAGAGTGGATGTAAATTAGACACTGTGTGGTTTATAAAAGGGACCCCAGAAAAGTATTGATTAAAGAACAGATAATTAGGTGCCATACTTTCAATGATGGATTTTACATTTCTTCTTGCAGAAAATATCTTTGGTTTATTTGTGTAGAATTTTAGAAGTAGCTTTGATGTGTAATGACTTTAAAAGCCAGTTTGATTGTTAACTAGCAAATGAGAGAGAAATAACTTACTCATATTGTTTTTGAAGGGAGAAACTCAGAAAATATATTTTTTGAGAAGTTAAAGGAAGACAGTATTCCTGCTCCTCGCTCTGTTGGCAATATTCAAATCAGCTTTACCCCTCGAGTATTCCCAACTGCTCTCCGAGAATCACAGGTAGCAGAAGAGGAGGAGGTAGGTACACTTGCTGTTAGTTACAGTGACCACAGTGAAAATAATTTATTTGTATTTAATCTATTGGAAACAAATGCTGGGTTTGAATTTCTTACGTATTCATTACACTAAAGATATTGATGAATATAGTTTAGTATTTCCTTATGAGAAAAATATACTTTGCAGGATTTTTTTTTTTTTTGGTTCCAGAATGCTGATGAAAGAACACTGATTTAATATACGGTGGTGTTGCATATTCCAGGAGATAAACTGTTGCATGTGTCATTTATTTTATCAAATACATCATTTTGTATAATAGATTTATAAACTTTGGATCAGTATGTGTTGTGGTAGGAACAGATTTGAAAATGTATTAATATATTATTACAATTATTATTAATATAGGTATTTCTAATGTTTGACCTTTCATTCATTTATAAATTCCTGAGCTCTGGGATTTTGAATATTGTATTTTTAGTTATATAAGGATTAGGAACTGCGTTTTTTACTGTAAAGTGTGAACTGACACCTCTCTCAATTGAAAAGTGGAAATAATTGAAGATTCTTAAGATACAGTGGCAATTTAAAAATATTAATTTTTTCTTATTAAGTTGTATATTAATTTGATATTATTTTATTTCATTTTTTGTTATATTATTGTAAAAGTATTTTTGTAGTTATAAAATTGTAATTATTTAAAAATTATTTTTTTGGGGCGGGCCGAGTGGCTAAGTTGGTTAAGAGCGCGAACTCTGAGCAACAGGGTCACCGATTCAGTTCCCACATGGGCCAGTGACGCTGCGCCCGAGCTGAGCTGCTGCTGAGCTGCCAACAGGTGGCAGGATGGTTCAGCTGGTGAGAGTGCATGCTCCTAACAACAAGGTCTCTGATTTGAGTCCTGCATGCAATGGTGGGCTATGCCCACCCGCAACTAAGATTGAACATGGCACCTTGAACTGAGCAGCCATGAGCTGCTGACAGGTGGCCAGATGGCAATTGGACTTGGAGCTGAGTTAGCTGCGCCCTCCACAACTAAGATTAAAGGACGACAACTTGGCTGTTCCTCTTCCCCAGTTCCCCAGCACTGTTCCCCAACACTGTTCCCCTTCCCCCAATTCCCAAAAAAAAAAAAATCCAAACAATTATTTTTTTCAATATAGAAAAATAAAAACAAGAAAATTTATATTATAAACAAGAAAAATGAAATAAGACTCACCTGTACTCCTAAATTTGGATGAAATTTGGACTGGAAATTTTTATACATTTGATCTCAACCAGCTACTAAAGTTTTTAAAAATTTTTTTAAATGTATAAAAACTGGAAGTTTAAAATCACCATCTTCAAATACTGTATTAGTCTGCTTGGGCTGTTGTAACAAAATACCATAGACTGGGTGGCTGAAACAACAGACATTTGTTTCTCACAGTTCTGGAGGCTGGCAAGTCCGAGATCAGGGTGCTGGCATGGAGGATGGAGGGTAAAGTATGCGCTATGGTCTCTTCTTCTTTTTAGTATATGTGCTGCCAAAGCGAGCACTCTCTTCTTCTTTTTATAAGGACCCTGATCCCATCATGGCCTCATGATCCCGTCTGAACCTAATTACCTCCCAAAGGCCCCACCTCCAAATGTCATCTCATTGGTGGTTAGGATTTTAGCATAGGATTTTGGGGGGATACAATCATTTACTCCATATCGTAGTATTTTCGTATTATGTAGGAAGATGGAAAACCTAAAAGTAACTTAATAAAAATAAGACCTTTGTGTCCTTCATTAGACTTCATTCTTATTTCAGTGGCTACACAAACAAGCAGAGGCACAAAGAGCAATGAATACTGATATTCCTGAACTTTGTGATTTAAAAGAAGAAGAAAAGAACCCAGAATGGTTGAAGGAAAAAGGAAAGTAAGTTATTTGAACTCTGGCCATGAGATTTATAATACATTTATGTAGACCTTAGTTTTTATCACATTTCCTAGATATCTGGACAAATATGTGTGTAGTTGTTGGGAGAGATAATGCAAATGAGCAAATTGGGTAGGCAGGGCCTCTATAGTAAAAAATCAGATCATATAACAAGTAAGGCTCTGATTTCTATTTGTTTTTATATATAAATGTCATAGAAATGAAAAGCATCACATCTTTTGGATTGCTTATTAAAATCCCTGTTTAAATCACATTTAACATAAGTACTTCCTAATACCTCCCTTAAAAACCTGTTTCTTAAAAATTAGAGCTTCTTTCATTATTCATATCCATCTTTTAAAAGATTACCAAGTTATCTTATAAATTGTCATTTTGCATCTAGGCAATCCTTTTACTTATATATATGTAGTTCTATGTGCGAATGAACATTTTTATACAGTTGTCTAAAACACTGAGTTCTGGTACATTCTGAGTGGTAATTTGAGTTCATATTTTGAGGCAATTGTAGATATTATTATATCTCTATATACTTTTTATTATTTTCCTATTGCTGCCATAACAAACTACCACAAACTTAGTGGCTTAAAACAATACAAATTTATTATCTTACAGTTTTCGAAGTCAGAAGTTCAAAATGGGTTTCACTGGGCTAAAATCAAGGTATCGGTTGAGATCTTTCTGGAGGCTCTAAGGGCGAATGTATTTCCTTGCATTTTCCAGCTTGGAGGCTGTCCACATTCCCGGGCTCAGGGCCCCCAGCCAGCGATTGCATCACTCTGACCTCTGCTTCTCTGACTTTGACTCTGATTCACCTGCCTCCTTCTTTCTTTCTTAAGGACCCATGTGATGACATTAGTCCCGCTTACATAATCAAGGATGATCTCCCACCTCAAGATCCTTAACGTAATCACATCTGCAAAGTCCATTCTACCGTGCTATTTAACATATTCACAGGTTCTGGTGATGAGGATGTGGACATCTTTGGTGGGGGGCATTATCTGTGTACCACAATGTCTGTTATTTTTTTTCTCATCTTTTCTCTGTTCTGTCTTGGTCTTTCCTCTTGTCTGTTACATCATCAGAGATTAATTTGTGGCACTGAGCTGGAGTTGGCAATTTTTCTGAAGGTTAGAAGCCTGGGGCTGACAGGTTAGTTCCTTTTACTCCCAACAGTAAAACCCCACATAATTCTTTCTTCTGTTTCTCCTTTTCTCTCCCTCCCTCCATATTTATTGAACCATTAAATATACGTCTATTGATTGATGGCTATTTGTCAGACTGTGAGCTAGGCTCTGAGCTACAGAGATCAGTGGAGGAGAGAGACATATACAAATACAACACTGTGTGGGAAGTACAATACATAGAAAAGAATAAGTTAAAAATGAGAGTACGGAAGAGGGTCACCTAACCTTAATGGAAGGAAGTGGGCTCAGGAAAAGCTTCCTAGAGCACTTAGCATGTGAGCTCCTTTGAATGATAAGTAGGCATTTCAAGAGGAAGGGAGAGAGGGACCAAGGGCCGGCCGAGTGGTTCAGTTGGTTAAGAGTTGGCTTAAGAGTGCGAGCTCTGAAAACAGGGCCATTGGTTCGATTCCCACATGGGCCAGTGATGCTGCGCCCGAGCTGAGCTGTCGCTGAGCTGCCAACAGGTGGCAGGATGGCTCAGCTGGTCGTAACAACAAGATTGCCTGTTTGATGGTGGGCTACGCCCACCCACAATTAAAACTGAACTCGGCACCTTGAGCTTAGAGGCCATGAGCTGCCGACAGGTCGCCAGATGGCGACTGGACTTGGAGCTAAGCTAGCTGTGCCCTCCACAACAAATATTGAAGAACAACAGCTTGGCTGGTCCCCTCCCCCAATTCCCCAGCACTGTTCTCCTCCCCCAATTCCCCAATAAAAATCTTTAAAAACAAACAAACAAAAAAAAGAGTAAGGGAGAGAAAGGCATTCATTTCAGGCACAGGAGACAGTATCAACTAAAGCTTGAAGATAACAAATACAGAGGATGCCAGAAAAATGTATACACATTTTAAGAGAGGAAAAACTATTAATTGTAATACTTAACATATACCAATAACAAAAGATGAATACAAGTCATTTTGGCTTCTGCAATTACAAGAGGTGCTCAAAGTGGTTACCATCAGTGTCCAGACACTTCTGATTATGGTGAACTACTGCTTGAGCATAGATAACATCTCTTAAAATGTGTATACGTTTTTTTGGCACCTGCAGTAGTGTGATATGTAGGTCAGGGACTATGGGCAGTTTATTTTTTGCTATAGTATTTGAGGCTAGGAATAATGAATGACAAATGAACCTAGAAAAACAGGCAAGGGCATCATATGCTTGATTAAGATTTTTATGTTTTATTTTCTGTGATGGGAAAAAATGTGTTGCAGAAACCAAGGCAAAGGCCTTGAGCTATGGCATTGTTGTAGGGGTGAAGACAAGGGCAACTAGAGAAATATTTCGGAGGTAAAGTAAGCAGAACTTATTGACTGATTATTGGAGAGTGAGAGAGCAGTAGTTGTGGGTGACTTCCATGTTTCTAGTTTGAATGATTGTTTGCCTGATGCCACCAACTGAATTAGAGCATACTAGAAGAGGGGCCATTTAGTTCAGTCTTGAATATGTTGAGTCTGAGCTGTCTCTGGGTCAGTCTGGCTGACAGTGCCCAGCAAGTTTGAAACTCAGGAGAGTCCAGCATTGTAGATGCAGATTTGGAGCTTATTGGTGTTTATCTAGTAGTTGAATTTATAAGACTAGGTGAGATATCCAGGAAGAATGTGTAGACCAGGAGAGTAATGGCCTGAGGACAAAACTGTGTGACCTACCATTTGAAGGCCTGGCCAAAAAAAAAAAAAAAGTACATAAAAATACTCCCAGAAACCCCTGGAATAGAAACTTTAAGGATAGACTTTGTTATGTTTTGTTCTTTAAGAATAGAAATGGTTTGAATAGATTTGCAGAGGAGACAAAAAAGATAATTAAAATATCTCTTGAGAAGAGTGGAGAAAATTGGGTCAAGACAGGGTGGATGGAGTATCTTGATTTTGTTTTTCCTCTTCTTATAAGTTACATTCATTTAAAATTTTTATAAGAATGTATCTTTTGAAAAAATTTGCACAGTGCATGTGAAATGAAAGCTCCCCTTGGTTTTCACCAAGTCTACCAGCCTCCTGCCCGTCCTGTCTAGCTGTATCCACTGTAAATCACTTATTTAATTATATTTTCTAATCTTTAATTGCCATTATCACAGTTAATATATAAATAGTTTGTGATAGTTTATAAGAGCTTTCACATATACTGTCTCATTAAATCTTCACAACTATAGTTGAGTAGGACCCATTGCTTTTGCATTCATTTAACAAAAGTTTATTGTGAAACTAGTAGCTTTACACAAAATTTCATTTAATTCCTACAACAATCTGACTTGCTGAAGATTATTATCTTTACTCCTGCTTGTCAAATGTGCAAACAGGGCTAAGGTTAAAAAAAAATTTGGCTAATGTGGTGATTGATAGGTAGAGCCAGGATTCAATCCCAGGTCAGTATGATTATGAAGCCAGTGTTCCAGCTACTGCTGCACACCTCTCACAGATGAATAAAATCCTCTTCCTGTCTTTTGTTCCAGCTGATTAGCCTTAGCAAAGGCAGCCCAAGTGCTGTGGCTATGGATTGCTCCTTTCACAGCTTGGAAGCACTGTCCTGTGCACAGCTGAGTGGGCCATCCTGTTGGATTGGTTACTTTGCTCTAGAAAATGTTAACAGTTTAATTTGGAATAGACAGAGCTATTTTATTTTCTGAGATTAGAAAGAAAGTGAAGACAAGTGTGAATCTAGATAAGTTTCTAAAAAGAATAGTTGCGTAATGGGTAGCGTTGGGGGCTCTGCTAGGTGGGAAACATGAATTCACCGAGATGCCAGTCAGCACAGCTGTGTGATTTATCTCCTGTAGTGCTTATTAGTCTTTTGGATTTCAGAGTAGATCACTGAGCCAGGGTTGAAGTTTTGACTGACAAGTACATCAAAACAGTAGTAGTGCAAGGGGCCATATTGCTCCTGGAAAAATAGCTGAAACGTTGAGCCATGAATTCCAGGCTGGGTTAGAAAGGAAGAGATGTCACGAGGGGCTCAGTGGACTAAGAGAAAATGGAGCAAGTAAGAAATTAGAGGGTGCTGTAAGGGTGAAGATTGAATATAAAGGGAAAGTTGGCAGAATAGAAAGTTCTGGTCATTGGCTACGATTCCAAAGTTAGATGTTCTTGAGGTAGTGCAATTCAGGTGATGACAGAGCCCAAGGTATGGCCCTGGAATTAGGTAGCAAAAGTAGAGTTGAAGGGAAGGTAATTTGAGTTAAGAGTTCCGGGTATTCCAAAGATAAATTGATAAATGGGTCACCTTAGAATCTTCTGGAATTATGGCAGAAGTTGGGATGGAGACAGATACTGGGAAGCAGGCTTTGAAGCCTTCAGTGAAGAGAAGAGTGATTTTTAAAAGCCAGTGGATGACAGTGACTAGTCAGCTATCGCTATCAGGCAAAGATGTGAGGAGTCCCAAAGGTGATGACTTTTACATAAACGGGGGTTACAATTAAGTGAGTCTAGAGAATGCCAATTCATGTGGTCCTGGCCCCTGTATGGGGGCTAGGGGAGCCTTAGTAGAGAGGAGGGTAGAGATAGCACTGCCCTCAGGACAGAGCCAGGTTTATTTTATAAAGCATGTTGTGGGAAATCTGAGGGTATAGGAAAGGATTGGGATGGGAGATGGAGTCGATTATAGCAGATCCAGGAGTAAGAAAGTGCAAAGGAGTAAAGGGGGATGAGAATAGGAAAGGCTAGCAAATAGGGACTTTCCCATAAGGACAGGGGAGAAGCATGCTCTTTGATCAGTGGCCAAAGATAACAGTGTTGATGGACGTGGTTAGAAAGTCCTTTGGCACAAGGTGTTATGGTGCTGGGACTGGCTCAAGTCCCA